CCATGGGCTTGAGAGTGGCCGCAAGCGGAAGCAGACCCGGGAGATGCAAGGTGCCGGGGAGATGCCGGGGCCCGGAGAAACACCGGACCCGGGAGAGGCATTGCTGGCAACCATCCTGGAAACTGGCGGGACGGGGATTGTCGAGGACTACATCTGCAACTCGCTTGTGAAGGAGCAGCGTGACGAGGAGCAGACACGCCGTATGGAGGAGATGTAATGGCGCGAGATGCAGGAGGTGTTGGGCCCGGAACAGCAGGCGTTCGGGGCCGAGGTCGACGCCAGCGGGTCTTCGCAACCACTCCCAGACCCACAGCTGAGTATGACCTCGCCAATCGGGCAGAAGCCGAGTGATGTGGAAGGAGTACCGATGATGTACAAGAATTTGATGTGTTCCAAGTACAAGGTTTTCTGGGAGGCGGCCATGAAGAAAGATATAGATGGCCACGACAAGACTGGAACCTTTCCCAAGGTCAAGGAGCTGCCCGAGGGGCGGAAGGCGATAGGTTCAAAGTGGGTGTTCTCTTGGAAGACGAATGAGAAGGGCCTGATAGTCGACTCCAAGGCCCGTATGGTTGCGCGGGGTTTCTCTCGAATCCCCGGCATCGACTTCCACCACTCATCCTCAGCGTGCCCGTCTGCAGCGTCTATCAAGACGGTGATTGCCGTAGCCACTGAAAAGGGAAAGAAACTCGCTCACTGGGATGTGAAGCAAGCGTACATCCACGCTAAGCTAACAGAAGAAATATACCTCAGGTTCCCGGAAGGCTGTGGTAGCATGTCCGGCAAGGTGGTCAAGGTTGAGCGTGCCCTGTATGGCCTTATGCAGAGTGGCCGTGAGTGGGGATTTGAAGCTGCCGATGCCCTCATCGAGAATGGATACAAGCAGTGCAGGGTTGATCCGTGTGTCTTCCGGAAGGTGGTGGATGGAGAGGTCGTAGGTCTCATCGTGATCTACGTTGATGACATCTTAGTGGCGGCAGACGAGGGAGAGCAAGAGGAGTAGTTCGCTTTCCTCAACAAGAAGTCCCCGGTGAAAGATCTGGGGGAGTGTACCTGGTACGACGGGTGTGCTATCGCCATGGATGTAGAAAATGGCATCACCAAGCTGTCCCAGACAGCATACATCGAGAGTATGCTGAAGCGGTTTGATGTGACCACGACCGCTTTCACCCCTGCTGCCACCGATGCCGACCTAGGGCCGAAGAGAGATGACGAGCCCGCGGTGGATAAGCCTGTGAGGGAGGCGATCGGATGCCTGATGTGGACGAAGCTGACGAGGCCAGACATCGCCCTGCCTCTGAACAAGCTCCAGAAGATCGCCCACTCACCCACCGGGAGGATATGGAACGCGCTTGTGCGGATCATGTCCTACCTGAACTTCACGAAGGACTTCGGCATCACCTACGTACGGGGGTCAGGACTAGACCTAAGCGTGTTTGTCGATGCCAGCTACGCTGACAACGAAGTAGACAGGCGTTCTACGACCGGGCTAGCTGTGACCGTAGGTGGTACCGTAATGTGCATTCACCAAGACGCAGCCAGTGACGGCTCAGTCGACCTCGGAAGCAGAGTATATGGCAGCCGGGGAGGGCGTGAAGGAGGCGTTATTTGTGCGTGGCGTTCTGTCGTTCATTGCGCCCGAGACGAGTGGGGCGAAGATCAAGGTCCTTGAGGACAACAAGGGGGCTCTCGCCTTAATCGAGAACCCGTTCAGCTCGCGAGGAGCAAGCACATCGACGTGCGGTTCCATTACATTCGCGAGCTATTCAAGTCGGGCAAGATCACTGCAGAGTATGTTTCGACTGGAGAGCAGCACGCCGACATGCTGACCAAGGTCCTTGGCAGAGAGAAGTTAGAGTACCACCGGAAGGCTCTGATGAACCTACCGATGTAGTGTTCTCTTGTTCTGTTTGGTTTATGTGGTGGTTTAAGCACTTGGCATACATGACCATGGTACGTCACGCAGGAAGCGTTGTGCCGGCGCGTCACCCGCGGCTGGAGCCTAGAAACGCCGAGAGCGTTGCTTCGGGTATGAAATCAGCGTGACCGGTTCAATCTGTCCTGCCTTGGTCTTGTCTTGGAAGTGCGGCCGTTGGGATCCTCCGTGATAGCGACGGTTTTCTGTATTTAGTATAGGGTGTTAGACAAGGGTTTTTGATCCGGTTGGTCGGGTTTTCCCTCGAGCCTGTTGTTGTTTTGAGTCCCTTTGGTAGATCAGGGGTATCCATGCCCCACGTTAGGTTTGCCATTCGCGTGCAAACCGGGGAGAGTGTTCGTGTGTTTGGATACGGACTGGTTAGATCTACCGGCAATAACAGAGGGCACGCAGGTGGGGCATGTGTACACCTAGAAATGGTTGCATGTGCGGGGACCCCTCGAACTCCAAAGATGGCTTCACTTCTCCCTACTCCCCTTGCGTGTCTAATACAAGAGATAAAACGTCTTCCCCTTCCAAGTAACGGACATATACGAACAGCCCTTTCTCACATAAGATCATTGACAACGAGACCGCCAGAGTATCATCCTTCCAAAGAAAGCTAATGCGTGGCGGGACACATGTGCACATGTGTGTGTTCCGCATACGCGAAAACGTTTTCGCCATGTAGTAGTTGGAAGCCGGCCGTGCTCATATACTGGCTTTGCTCGCAGGGCAAACATCGTAACTGTCGCCGATTTCCACACGTCCATGCTCGATTTTATGCCCGTTCTCCCGTGCTATGATTGCCACCACGGGCACGCCCGTCCCAGGCTGGGAATTGCCAATGAATTGGATCACGCCCGACAGCGCGCACAAAGGCGAGCCTAGGCACGGCGGTCGCTTGATCCTACGCTACAGCTCAGATCCGGCCACGGGGTGCGCGCCGAAATGGAAGCTGAGAGAGACGCTCATGGCACATGTTCTAGCAGGAGATAACCCACACGAACTACGGTGATCGTGGTAATTATTGAGCGCACACCTTGCCGGCGGTAGCTTTTCTCAGTATTGCTCAAGTGTAGTGCAGCTGTGACCGTGCGATATCAACATTTTGAAGCTTTTGGGGGACGGATGGATGTGTTGCTTCACTGTTGTTGAAGCAACAAACACCAGGTGGAAGAGTGCCCATGACGACCTAGAAACGTGCGAATAATGAAGCTGACGGTGTAGTCTAGTCTACGCAGCAACCCCGTGGACGATGCAAGCATGCAGATAGCTGGAACGGTTGGCGTCCGGTTTGTAAGAGGACAAAAGGGTGGGTGTTCGCGTCTGTGCACACGATGCTCCGCATGTCGCGACTAGGCGCATTCATATTGCTGTTGCACAAAAATCAAGGCTGCTCGGAAAAAGGTTATCCGACACGGACAGGTCCCCCGGGCAGGGCCCAATAAAAACAAGTACCATTTTGGTTCGTTCCTGTCTTGTTATTGACCCTAGACATACCGTATATGACACAAGATAACACACCCCTTGGACCGATTTTCAAAGCTCGATTACTCCACAAAGAGGATGCATTAACGAAATGATACATTTTCGAAAAGCACTCGACGAGACAGTTCTAGCTCCGCCGTTTTCGGCGCTGTGACTGTCCCTACAGTTGAGAAATCGAGCTTCGAAAATCGGCCAAGGGTGTGTGTTATCTTGTGTCATATACGGTAGTGTGGTGCACACAACCTGTTTGACCTGATTTTGCAGATGAAACACCGGCACTAGAATACGCCGTAAATGCCTGCGCCAAGAACGCGTTGTTGGTGGAGTAACTATTTACACGACAATCATCCGTACATCCTCACCACATCCTTGAATCAATTCTCGGCGAAACAAAAAAGCACGGAGAAAAAGTAGCGTCACGCCCCTGCGCGCGTGACCCATGCTCGACGGAAACCGCGGAAATATGTAGGAGCTCGTGACAAAGCTGAGTGTTCCGTTCACCTACAGCCCAATATTTCCGAATAAACTCATCATTCCCTCAGGCAAAACAATACGTCACCCGTGAAGAACGCCGTGTCGGAGTGCGGTAAGGGTCCAGTCGTCCCCAAGTCCAAGTGTGTAAACACGCGTCCATTCGCGAATTTAATAGGTTCCCACCGCATATTTGTATGGCACACCCTAAACTGAAATAAAAGAAACAAATACAAGAACAAACACACGTACAAGTAGTTTTTTTCGCGCCTGGAAGCAATACACTCGGCTTTCTATCTACCTCGGTCTGTCCAAGCGAGTTGTAGGCAAATAAAACGTTCCAGAGAGAGAATCGAACCCACAACCTGCTGCCAGTACGTACGAGGTGAACCTTTGGCCACAGGGGGTCACAAAAAGTTCGTGGACGTCAAAATTTCACCAACTTACACACACATGACACCATTGCCATGCTTTTCTACGGTTTCTGCAGCCTGTCGCCGATTGCAACAAGGTGAATTCAATACTGCACAACACAACCACCCTCTGGGCAGAATCGCCGCGCTCTAGCCTGCCCAACCGATGTACATTTCAATACCAAGCGTTCTCCCAGAGAGAGTAAAGCGCTGACCTCTTATTATCCGATACGATGCCAGGCACAAGAGATCACGCTCCTTTTCTCTATATCTCGACACAAGAGGACACAAGATAAAAGGAACCTCAAAACGGAACAAACAATTAGTCGCCTCTTTACCGAGTCCATCGTGATCACTGCCTCGGTCACAACAGTCTTCACACCGCATATAAGGCGAATCGGGAAACACTCCACACATCATTCCGAAGGAACGGCAAAACAGCATCATACACCCCCAACAATCTGAAAAAGAACTACACTGTACCGCTCGTGGGAGTCAGCTTCCATCGGGCATACAAAATGTTCGCGAGTGCGGTCGTGACAGAGAGATCACATCTCGAGCCAATTCGTACCAAGTGATGCAGTCGTCTGCTGCTTGAAAATGGACAGCCCAAAGGAGTACAACAACATATCTGTTCCTATTACGCGGTGAATGGCCGGGCTTTTGTGAGCCCATTGAAGCACCTCATCGCGAAGCCCGGTCATTACCCCCGGATTTCTCTGCTTGAACACGTTCCACTCACGCACGGGTGACCGCACGCGCGCGTTGAAGAGCTGCATAGACAGGTCCCAGTGTTCCATAATACCCACTGCCGTATATCCCGCCAAGATGTCCTGCGAACGTCCGAGATACAGGCACAAGCACGTCTCACTTCCTAGTGGTATAGGTTTAGCGGCCAAGACGCCGATAATATCATGGGTACCGTAGGAGCCACTTGTGCAAAAATTAGGGTTAGATGCACTTTGAATACAGCATGTGCACCACTGGAAGGGTGATTCACACTCGCCTACGGTAAGACATGCCCTCTTTGCTGAGAGAAGGCACAACTTCGGGCACCTGAGCATCCTGTAAGGGCCGTTATATACAGCAGATGTTTCGCTTCCAATTTTTCAACTATCCAAATCTGTAGACGGTTGACCCTCGATTTTTCGCGGCCCAGGGGAAACTTGGAGATTTGTAAAATTTGGACTACTGGCACCGAATAACCTAGAAATTTGGAAGCAAAATCGCTGTGTGTGTAAGGCGGCCCAAAACAGCCTAGGATATCATGGCCTGTGCTCGGCCGTGGTGACGAAGAAATAAGAAATTGAGCCTCGATCCCAAACTGACGTTTCTTGACGCGGACGCTAAACGTGTATTTATACCGGGAAACAAACAGCGGATTTGCAAGCCCTACCTGGACCTGCTGGAGGACATCTAGAATACCGGGTTCGTCCAGCATCTGGGGTGAATCAACCTGCGGCAACCCCAGATGAGCCACACACGTACAGATAAACGCACGCAACAAACTTTATAATATTAATACTACGAGTGATCCCTCTAGAGTGGGCTCATGAGAGCACAGTGTCATCAAGGGGTGACGCAAGATGAAAGCAAATAATGTGTTGGTGTGAATCAGCTGCCAGGTGCGATTAGTGACGTTTCTCTAGCTCGAACAGCTCGCACAGCTGACTTGTTGTTGATTCGAAGACCCCAGCGAATCTAAACGAACCAAGAAGAAAAAAATGCAAATCTGAATTAACGATTTACATCTCCTAGTAATACTCCGCGTAGCCCGTCCAACGAACCAATCCCCACGACAAAAAGTCTCACACTGCGACACGTTGTTCACCTGTCTAGGCTCAAGTCACAGAGGCGAGCAGAACACGTTCACGAGGTAGTCACCAGATCACTTCTCACCTCCGCCTCTTCGCAGAAGGTGTCAGGAGGGCAGTACAAGCCGAACGTCATCTGCTTGAACGCCATATTCTGCCAGCTTTCCTGCGCGAAGTCCAGCAGGCGCTCGGTCGCGGGCACCGGGTGCTCCTCGTGCCCACACCACTGCGAACGTGTCGCGTGCGTCGGTAGCGTGCTTCACCGTTAGTTTGACCCCTAGAGGGTGAACGGTACGACGACCGAAGCTTAATGGCGGCCGTGATATATGCTCCAGATGACAAAACGCCGAAACCGCGACCCCATGTATGAGGGTGGCGTGACAGAGGCTCTCGACCCCCATAAATCGGAGTCACCTCTTACAAGGTACGCTCTTATATCGGAGCCTCGACTGTACTCAAGTTCGGCGGACCCTGTCGCCATGCTATCGGCGAGACGTTGTTCACACATACCTTCCGAGGCCTCAATTGGACATCGTGGTCCGTTGGGCAGTAGAAGAACGCCGACACCAGGCGATCGATGGGGTGTCTCAACATCGTGAAGTACTCGCATTCCCTTCGCTCAACCTCCAAGGGATATCTGGGATCACGCGACGCGAGACGAAAACGGAAATCAAACATTACGGTCGTTCCATATACATACGCGCATAACATGGGGTGTCACTAAACCGTCAAGTACCCGCGTTCCCTCCTGTCAAACATCCAGAGGATTTCTGGGACGACGGGGGAGGAAAAGCGAGCAACATTTCGACGGGAAACCAATCTGACCTCGGCCCCCCGTCCCCCCCCCAAAAATACCCAACTAATACATTAATACGAGGCAATCATGAATTTGTTCAACGTTGTTAGGCTTTTTCTGCCCAAAGCAGGGCGCTTGCAATTGGACGAACCACTCTACTTTGTCTCAGTATATCCGAACAGCAGGATATGATACAGCATTCCGTTGCACCGCAACACCATCGAAATCGAAAGCATCGAACAGGAGCAAGTGACACTCGCCTTATAAGTTCCGCGTATCCCGTGATGATCGCAGAAGAGTTGATAGCTTCCAAGCAAGCGTTTGTTCTGTCGTGCCCATTTATGCACACCGCTGCACCGGAGAACAGAACGGCGGGAAGAGAGGGGAATTCTTCACGTCATTGTGGCGTCGGTAGGACCGTTGTTGCTCGCACTCCGAAATAAACGACAGACAAAACGCCGTTGATCTCCACCTTGCGAGTCGATGACAACTAACTGTCGGCTTTCACATTCCCCACGTCCTGTTCCTGGTCATTCCATCATTGACACTCGAAGTACAGCCGGCCCCGCTGTAAAGCCGCGCACGGTTTTGTAGCGAAGAGTGTCTCTAACGCCGAGAAGTTTAAGAGTCCGGGGGTGATAGCTTACCGTTCCTGGGGTCAATGGAGGAGTACCATACGTCATAAGACGCCCAAGTGCAGCACGGATACTAGCCGCCCGAAAAGTACTGTAAACTTCAAGGTTAGGTTCTGTAGGGTACGGGTAATGTCTGTGGGGTATTGGATCTGTTACAGAACCGGAGGGTAATCTCTGTAGGGTACGGGATGTGCTACAGAACTCACAGAAGTGTAGGGTATTGTGGCATGACCGTCACAGAACTCACAGAAGTGTTGGGGTATTGTATACAGAACAAGAGGGTAATCTCTGTGGGGTATCGGGTGTGCTACAGAACTCACAGAAGTGTAGGGTATTGTGGTGCAACCGTCACAGAACTCACAGAAGTGTAGGGTATTGCGGCACGACCGTCACAGAACCCACAGAAGTGTTAGGGTATTGTACACAGACCAAGAGGGTAATCTCTGTGGGGTACCGTGTGTGCTACAGAACTCACAGAAGTGTAGGGTACTGTGGTGCAACCGTCACAGAACTCACAGGGTAGGCTCTGTAGGGTATCTGTAGGGTAACTACAGACGGTCATTACCCTCGGTACCCGCGCGAGTCTCTGTATTTGCACACTGCTGTTTGCCTTCGTTCGACTCGGTTTCAAGGTACTGAACCAAGACTTGAAAACATGAAGCGTGCTTGCGTACGGCCCCTATATATCCCAGTCCTCAACTTCCCAGGTGACAGCGGAAGACTACTGCTAAAAAAAAAACATAAAATATACAAAAAGCATTTCACGTGTAGAGTATGTTACGTTTTCCTCTACCCTCTCCACTTCCCAGAGGGGGAAAAACCTGCACGACGAAAAAAAGATCAAGACTGAAAACCTGAGTGCAAAGGATTTCGTGGTGCGCCCCCACGACTACTCCTCGCCAGCAGGCAAGGGGCAAACTCCGTTCCCATCCGACTTTTTCCCAACACAACAGCAGTAGCGAGAAGCAAAGAGGGGTCTCTCCTGAACACACACCCCCCCGACAGTCAGTCTACACGCCAATGTCGTTCGCGGTGTTGTTCACCACGTCGACCAGATGTGTTCTGTTTCTCTGCTGAAGGAGGGTCTTGCTCTGTGTGTTGTGTGGTGTTTTTTGAGGGTACGCTTCAAGTTGGACTGACGTCAGCATCCCGGGGTAATCACAAATGTGGAGGGTAGTTCCACAAATGTTTACCCGTACCGCGGGTAATTGTGCCGCCGGCACACAGAACAGGAGAGTAATCTCTGTGGGGTACGGGAAATGCTACAGAACTCACAGAAGTGTAGGGTATTGTGGCACGACCGTCACAGAACCCACAAAAGTGTTAGGGTATTGTATCAAGAGGGTAATCTCTGTGGGGTACCGTGTGTGCTACAGAACTCACAAAAGTGTAGGGTACTGTGGTGCAACCGTCACAGAACTCACAGAAGTGTAGGGTATTGTGGCGCTACGGGCACAGAACAGAATTGTTCTGTAGGGTAAAACAGAGGGTAATTACCCCCGGTATAGATCTGTGGGTACCCTACAGAACCTAACCTTACAAACTTGACGATCACAACGTGGTGGTGGTGGTTCGAAGTTGCACGCCCTAATACGCTGTTGTATCGCTATGGCACCTTAGCGTTGCAACACTCCACCCCCCACAATATTGTTCAGAACAGCAGTGGGTACATTACTGCAGGACGAGGCCCACCATGTTGAACGCCCCCTCTCGACATGCCCGCTGTGGTTGGTGCTGATGTACAGCAGTGCCTTGGTAGTTGCTGGCATTGGTATCTATCTATCTACTCTATTTTCATTTTATTTTTTTACTCTATCTATTTCTTTGGCGTCGTCTCCACGTTGAAAAACTTGTCGAGATGCAGTTCTTCAGCATCATTTGGGGGTCCTGTATGATGAAAACGGAAACCCCTCTACATTTTTATCTGCGGGGCACCCTGCTTCTGAGATTTTTTGTGTCTCCTATACAACGTGTGTTGGTCAAATGGGGACACTTCGGGAACACAGCACTCATCAAATGCCTGTTTACCGCACTTTAGTGTCGACCACGGTGCGGCACCGTGGTCGACACTAAAGATATACTGGTTTTATATATATATATTTTATTTTGCCTTCCGACAATTGCAGATGTACCTCAGAAAACTTTCACTTAATGTCTCATACTCTACATGAATATTAAACCAATACGAAGTACAACAACATATGTAGGACTTTAATCTGCTGTCACTTACATCGTAAAAATATCTCCTCTTCAATTTGAAATAAAACCAATGACAATCCTCATGGTATCCTACATGCGTTCATATACTGAGTATATATATATAGATGCTCCGCTGTGTGAAAAGTGTGTGGGACCCCTTTGCCTAGCACACTGCTGCTGGCGTGAGGTGGTACGGTGTGTGACAAAACTGCTGTGTGTGATGCCTGTGTGCTTCTCCTGGGCCTCTGACTTGTTGTACACGATCTCCCAAATCCGCGGGTCCCCTTACTCATAACTGTACCACGTTTATAGCCAACTGTGCGTTGTTTTCGCCCTACCTAGAGTAGTAGTGGGCCCTATATTATAGTGCCGGTGTCCGGAAAAATAGTGCCAGTAAAATCTCTCAACACATAACGGCAACCATACAGAGCCCACCACTGTACTTATTATTGTCGTCCTGGAAAAAATGCTGCCTTGCCTTCCGTACAGTGTACCCAGTGCATTTTTGAGACACTCTTCATCCTGAAGCCAAGTCAGCCTTCGGCCCTCGGGACTGTATAGCCTCTCCCAATGAGTGGACGCGATTTTTTCTGGACCCAGAACCTGTAGCTGGGTGCTTGGTGATGCGGGTATGTACGTAAGACCGTAGACTATACTTACTTTTGAGCACGCAACCACGTGTAAGAACTTTATATGACACAACGAATCCATCTCTATCGAAGAAAATAGTCCAAGACAGAATAGCAATGAACCCACAGCGTCAGTTAAGGCTACCTGTGTTTCCATGATTTCCCGAGCAGCATGCAGCGACATCTCCCCCGCGGGTAACAGGGTCAACAAGATAGTGTGGTAGCCGTTTTGTGCATGTATCTGCATGCTAAATGTACTTTATTAGTTTCTATTTCTGAACGCTTCGTTGTATGTAGCGCCAGAAAAATCTCAATCGGTACAAAATACTCCAGAGTAGTAGCAATAAATGCTCATTTCCATGCATGAACAACTCGCAAGGTGTGATAATTCAGATCCAAATTCATGTGCCCTGACGTCCCGACGCTCCTTGGCGCGTATCCGCGTTCGGCCCGACACCTCCCGTCCTCGTGGGCTACATCTTGTAGACTAGTGTAGACAGCGTAGCCCCTTAAAACATGCCATTGTGGTTTGGCTGGGACAAATGGTGCTTAACATTCCTACAGCAGTAGACTAGTACTAGAAGCCCACACACATGGGGGAGGGACAGCACTCAAACTCCTGCTTACAGCACCGTGGTCGTCAATATGCTCCGCTGCGTGAAACGTGCGTGGGAAACCTTGGTCTAGCATGCTTGTATGAGGTGGTGCGCTGTGTGACATGCTGCTATGTACGATGCCTGTTGTGTGCCTCTCCTGGGCCTCTGACTTGCTGCACACGACCTGCCAAGCCGCGGGTCCCCTTACTGATGAAAGTGATTGATAAAACTGTAGTCTATGCATAGACTATTTACATAGCCTAGTACGGAAAAATTGATGACTTGGCTTCATTAGTCTACAGAAAGGGAAGTGTCCCCCGTGGGGAACTGTCCACGCTGAAGCCAAGTCAGCCTTCGGCCCTCGGGACTGTACCGCATCTATCTCCCACTGAGCGAATGCGCCTTTTCTGGACCCAGAACCTGTACGTAACTAATGCTGAACTGGGTACAAACTCGGGGGGTCAACGAAATTATTTGTTTCCGGAGGTGGCCGCGGAACACCGGACAGTAGTTGCTTGATAACTGATGCAACACCGAAAGCCACCAATGACACGTGCGTAGAAGCGTAGAAGCGGTTCGATCTTCCAATTGAGACTTTCTGTGTTTGTACTTACACGTTTAGACTATACTTACTTGTGTATCGTACATGCACACGGATGCGGTGTAATCAGCATACGTACAACTGGTACGTACATGTTACCACCACAAGATAATAAGTCGCACCTGGTCTCGGGAGACCTTCCTTGCGTGTAGCACTGTGAAGCAAGCTCTTGACGGTTGAGCCCGCGCTTTTCACCATGTGGTGGAAGACGGTGCAGTATTCGGGCGGCTCCCCGGGTTCACTCCTCGCGTAGAGCTGCAGACGAGGAGCAAGGAGAAAAAATCGACGAAACAGCAGCATCAACAGAGAAAGGTTGGTTGCGCCTCTTGTCTCTTCCATCAAGTTGCAAGGAGTGGTTATACAGCAGTACAGCAGTACAACAAGGTGTGGGCTACCTTACCCGTGTTCTCACGACCACTCAACAAGTGTCACGGCCCTATCGGGTGCACGGAAGCGGAAGACTGTCACAGGCTACGAAACCTGGCTAGCTAGTCCGCAGCCGCTCTCACAGGCGGACGGAAGCTTGTGAAAAAAATGGCGGCTAGCTTTTGCTCACGTCTGTAGGAATAACGTGTTCTGATTGTTGGGCGTTGTTCGGCGTTGGTTCTGGCGGCTGATTCCTCTCCAGGATCCTCTACCCGTTCCGCATTCGAAGCACGCGGCGCAGCCGCGTGCCGCCCAGTTCGTGGCCGCTAGGCCGTGCTTTGGCCGTGGGTAAGGGTTAGGGTTTAGGGTAGATGTGGGGTAAGCAACCTAGCCTTGCTCGCGTGAAGATACTGGCCTTGCTACGTTCAACATCGGTTAGTCCTGAAGAGTTGCTATACAAGTGTAACCAACGCTCAGCAAAACTACGATATTCCATCCGTTAGCGCCGACGTTGTTTTCGTCACAACACCGTCGTCGTATCACCCAACCGTGTTTCCGGCAGCCAGCAGCCCAAGAACCCACCGTGTCACCGCCAACAAGAAGCAAAGAGAAAACGCAGGCCAACCGGACGATATCCAAGGCCATCTTCATGAGTGGCAGCATCGCTCCACGCGGCCTACTCGCTGGCTCCAGACCGGTTGCTCTTCTGCATGAATAGAAACATCAGTTTGCGGAAGACCTGGTGAGGAAAGCGTTTCAAAATCACCTAAGAGCATCATCTAATCTGGATTTCACATGCAGGTTATTAGGGGATACAAATTCAACACGCAAAACACTCTTTTTGATTGGGGAATTAAGCTCCTCCGCCGGTCCACACCACCGGTCGCCCCGGTGGTCCAGTGGGTACCTTCGCAGCCTGCTGAGGGCCACGTCATTCGTTCGAGTCCCGGCAGAGTGAGTTTCTTCTCGCTAAAAACATCCTGTTCTAGGAGGAAGCGACGCGCTGCAAAGCTCGTTGTTAGTAAGCCATAATCGACTTCGTAAGTCGCGAGGGAAGGGATTGCTGTACCCTTCTCGCGATGAAAATATCTCAGGCGGAAACCGCAGGAGGGGGTTCAGCCCCCCCCTCTTATGTGACCCCGGTTGGGTCGTCTAGCTAGTAGAAGTGGAGGATAGGGGCCAGAGGGGCAGACGACAGAGTCCAATGATGGGCGGCGTACTCTTATGTTTTGCATGCCTTAGCGGTTAGACCATAGATCACGCGTCCTCGAGAGGACGGAGCATTGTTCCCACGGGACCGATCACCGATGGCCAATCGTTCCTTTCTACGTTGCCAAAGNGGGGGGGCGTACTCTTATGTTTTGCATGTCTTAGCGGTTAGACCATTGACCACGCGTCCTCGAGAGGACGGAGCATTGTTCCCACAGGACCGATCACCGATGGCCAATCGTTCCTTTCTACGTTGCCAAAGGTGGCTCAAAAATGTCTTCCCCAGTCTGTCTATCCTAAATATCCCTTCCCGCCTTTTCAACCCACCTCCTATGCCCCAGTACAGCTACCGTCCTTTCCTCTCTATTCTATGCCTCAAACATCTCCCTTTACGT